GGATCTTTGCCAACACAGCTGACTCCGCTTGCCTGCTGGGCATGCGCAAGCGCAGCTTGGTCTTCCAGCCCTTGGCTGACCTCAAGGAGCAGACAGACTTTGAGTAGGTGTCCTCCCCCTTTCCTCCAGCCCCAGGAATGACAAGAGAAGCCTTGGAGATGCTTCCCTGGGTGATCCAGGGAGGTTCCTACCCAAGGTCACCCTCTGTCTTTGGCCCAGGCATCGCCTACCCAAGGAGCAGTGGTGGCTGAAGCTTCGCCCCATCCTGAAGATCCTGGCCAAATACAACATTGACCTGGACACCTCAGAGAAAGCTCACCTGGAGCACATCACACGCAAGATTGCAGCTCCTGAGACCAGCATCTAACAGGTTGTGGCTCCTGGCACAGCCTCCCCTGGCCTGGAGCTCCTGTGTCATCTCCACACCCCATAGGAAGCCACCAATGGGTTTCTCCAAGGGTTCCATTTTCCCCTCAGGGGCAATTTTGGGTTGGTTTAAGGTATTTTAGAGGCTTTTTTTTTTTGAGGGAAACACCATTCCTCAAGCATCCCAGCAAGATGGGATGAGCTGAGAGCAAGTGGTGTGGGGAGAACTTCCTGGGCATCACTTTAGAGTTAAAAAAAATTAAAATCAAAGAGTTAAGATGCTTCAATAAAATCAGAACTCGTTGTGCTCCAACCCTCTGGAAGTCATTCCATGGGAACAGCAACCACAGCCTCACACACATCCCTAGGACCTCATTCCCCACCACACTAGGGAGGAACAAACCACACAGAATTGATCGTTCTTCCCCAAGTTTCTCCCACAAAGTAATGATGGCAGTTTAGCCACTTGATTTGACCTTGGAGAGCAGAGAGAAGCTCTTCCAGTGGATCCCAGAGGATGAGGATCCCAAAAAAACATCCCAGAGAAAGGTGGGAAGAAAACTCCAAGTGGGATAGTCAGGAGAGGGGGAGAAATGTTTCCTCTGCTCAAATTGAGCCCCATGAAGTCCTGAGGGACCTGAGGGACATGGAGCTCCTGGAGCAGGTCCAGGGGAGGAGGAAAAAGGTGATGAAGGCACTGGAGCAGCTATGGGGAAAGGCTGAGGGAGTTGGGGCTGTTCAGGCTTGAGAGAAGATGACAAAGACCTCAATAAGAGGTCACCAGGTCCCTCATCAAGAGGTCATCAGGTCCCCCATCAAGAGAAGGACCTGACACCTCCCCACAAGCACCTGAAGGTGCTGAGGATGGATCAGGCACTTCTCAGTGCTGCAAACCAAGAAGACAAGAGGCAGAAACTTATGTACAAGAAGTTCCACCTGAACAGGAGGTGTAGAACTTCTTCCCCGTGCAGTGACCAAGCACTGAACAAGTTGCCCAGAGAGGTGATGGATTCTCCATGACTGGAGATATCCCAGACCCATCGGACACAACCCTGGGCCATGTCCTCTGGGATGACCCTGAAGGACCAGAGGACCCAGTGTGATCCAAGTGTTGACTTTGAGGTGTTCTCACCCCTTTCTCCTCCACACCTCTGATGCTCCTTAGAAGATCCAGCTGAGAAGGGACAACTAAACTTCTCCTGTGGCTGTGGTGGGTGTTGGTGCTGAGCACAGTCCAACCCTCCATGGCCACGTTTCCAGCCAACACATCCCACGGGATCTCAGCACCATGACACCTTCTCTTGACTTCCAGCCCCAGCTCCTTCAAGAAGGAGAGTTTCCCCATTCTCCCCACACCTTAAATTCTTCCTTCCCCTCCAACTCTTCTCCCCCCCCGAAAAAGAGGAGAAACCCTTTGTTAATCCAACAGCTTGGATATAATTTGCCACGAGAGGAGAATTGTCCATGTCACGCGGCCGAAACGGAGCGGGAAGAGAACGTGGGAAGAACTGCCAAGCAGGCACTGTGGGCAGGGAGACAACACTGTGGGCACATCCCACCACTCTGCCCCAGCTCAGGGTGGCACAGAGCAGGAGAAAGACCAGGACAGTGAAAAGTGAGAGGCGACCCAGCACCACCAAATCCCAAACCAAGCAGTCACCTTCGTCACTGCGGTGAGCAGGAGCTTCAGAGCTTCACCTCTCCCTCAGCGGAGGAGCACCACGGACTCCTTGAGGCACCTGCCCCTCAGCTGAGGAGCAGAAGGTACTCCTTGAGGCAGGTGGGCAAGGGCAGCTGCTCCACGGCCTCGGGCAGGAAGCGAACGCCGAGGCTGCGGCGCACGGCGTAACGCGACAGAGTCTGGAGGGTGCCAGGAGCTGAGCAGAGCAAGGTGAGCTTCTGGCACAGCTGTTGATCCCTGGTCACCTCCCATGGCATGTTCCCATTCTTCCTCAACTCAAAATGTCCAATGGCTCGGTGGAGGAGATCGAAGCACGAATCCTCCCGCTCCGTCCCCAAGCCGCGCACCAACAAAGCCACCAGGCGGGAGATTGGGGTTTGCCCTTTGAGATTGACCACCCTGACCTCAGCCCCAAAGTCCAGCAGGACGCTGACGCTCTCCAGGTTGCCCTTCATGGCCGCCCAGCTGAGGGGGGTGTCGTCGTTGTAGTCGCGCGCGTTGACCAGGGCGCCGTTCTCCAGCAGCGAGCGCGCGCACTCCGCGTTGTTCTTGAAGGCTGCCCAGTGCAGAGGGGTGTCCTTGTTGCCATCCAGGGCGTTGGGGTTGGCTCCATACTCCAGGAGGATCTCCACGCACGTCTCGTCCTTCTCGGCCGCGTAGTGAAGGGCTGTGCGGTTGTAACCGTCCAGAGCGTTGACCTGCGAAGGATAGGGAAGGATTCTGAGGGGAAGGAGGTGGTTCAGCTCCTCAGAGAGGCAGGAGAAGATCCATAGGTCCTACAGCCTGAATGGAGAGGGTGGGGAATGGGATAGGGAGTGGGGGGATGGCCTGGAGAGGAGGGAGGAGGACCTGGAGAGGGGAGGAAGACCTGGAAGAGGCAGAACGACGTGGAGGAGAGGATACCACTGCCCTGGGGAGATGTCCAGTGCCCAAAGGCCTCTGGGGGAAGAACTTCCTGATCTCCAACCCAACCCTGTCCCAGTGCCCAAACGCTTCTGTGGGAAGAACCTTCTCCTGATCTCCAACCCAACCCTGTCCCAGCAACCAACCACCCTCTACAAGAAGCAGAACCTACTCCCACTACCCAACCTCCCCTTGAACAGAGCTCACGTTTCCCCCAGACCACTCAGCTCAGCACCCACCGCTGCCTCCCAACCATCCCAAACTTCCCATGGGAGTTTTGAGTTTTCCACCCCTTTTCCAAGCTTCCCAAGCCTTTACCTCTGCTCCCTTCTGCAGCAGGAGCTCGACGCAGTCGGCATCGGCCACCATGCAGGCACAGTGCAGGGGCTTCAGGGTGCCGTGCATGCAGTTGACATCTGCACCCTGGGGGAGCACAGGGGACACCACCAGGTCAGCAAACCCTCCCAGCCCCTCCCTGGGCTGCTGGAGAAGGTTCCTTAACGAGGAAAGGTTCATTAAGAGGCAAAGGTTCAGAGTAGGAAGTCATGCAATGCTCCCGTTGAGGTTGGTGTTCAGCATAGGGTTCCTGCTCCAGGCCCAAGAAGGGAGAGTTTCAACCCTGGTCCTGCTCCTGGATTTAATGAGCTCGTTAAGGGAGAGTAGGTCTGTGGGGAAGGATCTGGAGGGCCTGGTGGGGAATGAGGTGGTTTTGACTAGTGGTGTGGTCTGGGGGACATCAATAGTGTGTCCTGAGGGACATCAGTAGTGTCCTGAGGGACATCAGCAGTGTCCTGGGGATCCTGAGGGACATCAACTGTGTGTCCTGAGGAACATCAACAGTGTCTTGGGGTTCCTCCAACCTAATCCTCCAAGGTGAGGCCACACCAGCACAGAGCAGAGAGGGCAATCCCCTCCCTCTCTCTCTGGAATGCTGTGCCTGATGCCTCCAGGATGGGGTTGGCAATGCCTTCTCTGATGACTCCAGGACATCAACCCCTTCCCTGACACCCCCAGATGGGGTTGGCAATATCTTTCCTGATACCTCCAGGACATCAACCCCTTACCTGACCCCTCCAGATGGGGTTGGCAATGCCTCCCCTGACCCCTCAGACGATGCTGTCAGTGCCCCTCCCCTCTCCCAGCACACACTGTTGGCTCCCCTTGACCCAGGAGCACCCCCAGATA